AGTTTTGCTCTGTCCTATAGAGTCACTATGAGTCAGAACCAACTTGAAGGAGCAACATTTGAATATATATTTGAGATTATCATACATGGCTTGAGTGTTGCTGTGATGCTGGAAGCTAAGTCACGGGTATTTCAAAAGGCAGTAGGGTCACCCAAAGTGGTCAGCTTTCAGGGGAGCATCCAGACTAAGAACAGACAACAAAGGACTCAGATGCCCACTTCAGAGGAAGTAGCTGCTGAAACCCTTACGCATAGCATAGAAACACTGTCAGATGCTGAAGGCCTACTGAATGAAGCAGATCAGAGATAGTGCCAGAGGATGGGCCCCTGCAGTCAGAGGGTGCTTGAAATGTGACTGAAGAGGGGCCTGCTTTCTCAGAGTACAGTCAACCAAGGTGACTTGAATAGGGTAAGGCCTGTGGGAGTGAAACCTTCAGGATCTTTATTTGCTGATGGGGCATGACTCAAGGTAAGAAAAAAAACAGCTGCAAAAATCTGCTTAACATTGGAACTTGGCACGTGTGAAGTATGAATCTAAGAAAATTGGAAGTCATTAAAAATGAAATGCAATGCATAAAGAGCAATACCCTAGGCATTAGTGAGCTGAAATAGATCAATATTGGCCATTATGGATCAGAAAATTATGATTTACTATTCTGAGAATGGCACAATCAAGAGGAATGGCATTGCATTAATTGTCAAAAAGGACATTTCAGAATTAATTTTGAAGTACAACACTGTTTGTGATAGGATTATATCTATCCAAATTCAAGGAAATCCAATCAATGAAATTATTATTCAAATTTATGCACCAACTACAAAAACTAGTGATGAAGAAAATTAAGAATTATACCAAAAATTTTCAGTCAGAAATTGATCAAACATGCAATCAAGATGCATTGGTAGTTATTGGTGATTGGAATGTAAAAGTCGGAAATAAAGTGGAAGGAACAGTAGTTGAAAAATATGGTCTTGATGATAGAAAATAAACTGCAGATCACATGATAGGATTTTGCAAGACTAACCATTTGTTCACAGCAAATCCCTTTTTTCAACGACAAAAAACTGTGACTACATACATGAATGATTCCAGGTGGAAGACAAAGAAATCAAATTGACTACATCTGTGAGAAAGGATGATTGAGTTCATTATCAGTGGCTAAAAACAGGCCAGAGGCCACTTGTGGAACAGACCATCAATTGTTCAGGTTAGCTAAAGAAAATTAAAACAAATCCAAGAGAGCCAAAATATGACCATGAGTCTATCTCATCTAAAATTTGAGACATCTGAAGAACAGATATGACTCATTGTACACTAATGACAAAAAGACCTGATGAGCTGTGGGAGGATATTAAGAACATTATTTATGAAAAACATGTTGCCAGGAGAGACAAGTCCCTGAGGAGAGAGAGCATACTGGGTAAATAGATGGGCAGGGAAAACGAAGGTCCCCAATGAGTGGCTTCAACAATGGGCTCAAGTACAGGAACAATTGTGAAGATGGCACAAAACCAGGCAGTGTTTGCACTGTTGTACACAGGGTTGCTATGGTTCAGAACAACTCAATGACACCTAACAACAACAACAACACATATGATATTAATATTGCACTGCACCAATGTTGTTGTTTTTTTTTTGCACCAATGTTTTTATCACCAGGATTTTTGTGCTTGTTTGAGTTGGTTTCACCCAAGAACAGGTCGTTATAGGTAACAGTTCCCCTACTGTTTTGGCATGCACTGTGATGGTTAGGAATTATGTCAACTAGACAGTCCTGGGTAAGGGTATGGGTGGAGCCCAACCTACCAATTGGATTACAGTTTGATGACATCTCTGTGGTGTAATAAGTGCAGAGACTGAGCAGAGTCTAATCCTCTTTGGCCCTTTGGCGTCTGTTGGAACTGAATCTTGTGTCTGGTTCCTTGATCTCCTGTTGAGTTGCTTGTTGATCCTGGAGCCATGAGAGGACTACCATGATGGATTCACTTGGCTGATTTTATATCTCTGCATCCACCAGTCCAGGCCCCCTGTGGTCTCTGCTTCATCATCCTACTTCCTGTTCATCATCTTCTATTTGTCAGAAGAAGCCTGACTTGAAGAAGGCTGGACTTACCTATTTCTACAACTGTGTCACTTCAAAAGAGATGAAGCAGGTCCCCTTCAGGTGTTGAGAATGACATCTTAAGCACTGATAAGATAAGCCTCAAGAGTAAAGTAGATGAGAGGAGGATGAGGCCTTCCTGTTTTGAAAGGTCACATTCAAAAGGGAGAAGGATTCATAAAAGTCAGTTTACTAGTAGTTACAGAGTTTGTCCTTGGGTCTTCTACATATAATGATACTTCAGTTGTCAAACTCAATTCATTCTAAATTCATGATTAAACACCAAAAAGTTTGGGAACTGAACAAAATGTTCCCAAAACCAAATGACTGGTTCTGAGGTCCAGACATTATCCTTGGAAATTCCTTTTTCCAGGACTTTAAATCACTATGGCGGCTTCTAGCCATCTCACACATCACTATCTCAGATACTCTATCACTATCAAATTATTTCAGATTTCTCCAAATTAACAGTAACTTTTCAACTTCTTCTATGGTATGCATTGTTTTGTGGTTAATGATTTCAGACCGTTCACGACATTAGCTGCTTTAATCACATTTTTTTCCCCTAAAACATGTTGATAGTGTTGACTTTGTCATGTTGTATTCAGCAGCCAAATCAAACAGGGACCTGAATCAAATTTCACAATACTTTCTTTAACTTTATTGTGGTTCTCACAGTTTTCCTCTTAGCTTTACTGTTGGTTTCACGAACACTTTGGAGCCATGGTTATGATATTTCACTTAAATAAGGCACAAAAAAACCCACAATGACGAATGTTTTAAGGCACGAACAGGCACTAAATGTCTGAGAGTGGTGTTAAGACTGAAGCATCACCACAATGCAGCACAGGACTCACTCGGCCCTTACAGGTTTTCTTAAGTTGGATTTTTGATTCCACTATTGAGCAAAGCTCCGAATACGGAGCAGATATTTTCCAAACTTTGCTGTTCAAGTAGTGGAACGTTCGAGTTTAGAGCTGTTCGACAACTGAGGTATTGCTGTATTTCTTTCTAATTTATCTCAGACTACTATTCTGTTAAGAAGTCACCAGTCTTATCTCATGTGTGGCAGCCCTAGTGGTGTAGTGGTTACCTATTGAGCTGTGAACTACAAAGTTAGCAGTTCAAAACCACCAGCAGTTCCTCAGGAGAATGATGAGGCTTTCAACTCCCTTAAAGAGTTAGTCTTAGAAACCTAGAGAGACAGTGTATCCTGCCCTACAGGGTCACTATGGAAGTGAGTTTTAAAAAATATATCTGGTGTGGAGGTGTTGAATTTTTTCCAGGCTATATCTTGGGGTAAGATGTCTCAAGATGGCCACACTGCCTGACCTGTACGTTGAGACATTACCAGGCTTTTTATCTGTGGGGCCATTGTTCACTTCTCTAGCCTGCAGAATGCTCCCTCCCTTAGCAAACAGAATGTTTGTTCTTAGCAAGCAGAGTGTTTATTCCCTTAGCAGTCCGAAGTCCCTGCCCAGACCCTCTCAATTCAGTCATGCAAAACCTAGGCATTAAAGACAAACAGAACAGAGACTGAATGAACAACTCATAGGAGAGAAAACACACAAGACTTAATAAGACTTAATAAAGTTTCTGGAAACCCTGGCACATGGTTCATAATTCTAAGAATGCTTATCCCTGCAGCATCTCTGAAGAAACAAGACAAAAAAAATCAAACTCATTACCACTGTTGATTCTGATTCATAACAATCATTTAGAACAGGGGAAAACTGCTCCTGTGAGTTTCAGAGACTGTAGGAGTGGAAACCCTCATCTTTTTTTTACCCCCAAAGGGCAGCTGGTGATTTTGAAATGCTTACCTTGTGGATTGCACCTCAACATATAACCACTACGCTCGTCACAAGAGTTCCCAGAGACTTTGAGGGTCCATGTGAAAGGAAATTACTTGAGGAAATGCCAAGTAAAGTACTATTTTTGCCCCCTACTGCCAGATTTCCTAGACTTCCAGAGCTCCTACCAAGAAAGACAGCTTTGGAATGGTTTTCGGACTATGCCTCTTGTTGTACGACACAAGAGATCCCAATCTCAAATTTAAGGAGAACAAAGACAACACAAAGGCACATCACTTGAATGACGAGGCCAATAACCCTCTGTTAAAATGGTGTCTGAGATTCATATTCAGACTCTAGTTAAATAAGGCATGGAACAAAGGAAACTGTCACCAATTTATGGCTGGTGGCAGATTAATACAGGAGACTACAGAAGCAGGGACACGGCCCTGATTGGGACACATTCATTATGTGAGACAGTAGGTTTACAAGATTCATCCAGGGCCGCCGTCCAACTAAAGAAGTCAGGTTTACTCATGACTATGAGCCCCCCCCCCACCGTTCTGTCCCCTCAGTACAGTGACCCCTATCAAGGACACACCCAGGCAAGCCCCTAGAGAAACTGCCCCTCCCTGGGATAACTGGAGAGGGTAGAGGTAATCTACTCCCCAAGGCACTCTGCCTGAGCTTCCTGCTTTGGGAGGGACAATCCCAATTTTTAACAATTTTTCTTGCGTCCCGCGACATTTTAAAAAAGTCCGGATTTTTGGAAAGAATGCACGACAAGCTAGGGTATACGGTTTTTCGGCTGCTATGTGGCTATTTCGCCAGGATATGAGTTTCATCAATGGTGTCCCGCTTTACCAATGTTAAAATCTGGTCATCTTACCTGAGGACAAGATTATGGACATTCTTAATGATCATAAAGAATCATGTGGAAGCCCGATGTGTGTGTGTGTGTGTGGGGGGGGTGTTCTGAGAACGGATTTCCTGCTGTCACTGCCTTTTGCAAAACGGGGTGCTCAGAATTTAAGCCCTGATACTGCTGTTATAGAACTGTATTTCTGGGTCAGGTTAATGAGTCTATTTTAGTCACTTTTAAATGGCTGTATTGAATGAACACAGCTGTGCTTTCTGGTTAGGAGCTTTTTGCACTGTAAGAAAATACTTGAACAATTTCCCACACAGTAGTGCCAGAGTCTCCACGAGGAAACTATCGTGAAAAAGCAAAAATATGCATATGAGAATGACCATGACACTCACAGGCACTAAGTCACCTGGCCAGACAAAGGAACTCGTGGGTGCAGCCAATACTCTGGGTACCACATGAAGGGGGGTCACCTCTGTACAGTGAGTGACCAACCTCCTTCCTCAAGCATGGTAGATATCCGGAGGGCTGGAGAGGAGCGAGTAGAGGGCATTTGCCTCCCACTCCCAATACATGAGAACTCCGAGGAGCCAGGAAAGAAGGCGATGGTGTTTCTGCGAACACTTAGTGATCAACGTCTACTCATTGTGAAGTTGGGAGGGGTGCCCCTGGATGCTCCCGACTGTGACAGGGAGGTAGTGAGATAAGAGACTGTCCCAAGGTTGTTTCTATTTTCTTTAACTATTTATTTATTTATTTTTAACTTCTTTAAGGCCTTTCAAACGATCACGTGCGTGAACATCACCTTTAACCCTCGTTGTTTTCTCCCTCCGACGCTGTTCCCTTTCTGCACGCACCACGTCCTCTTCCTTGTTTCCTGGTAACGAAGGCGGTGGCGGGTACTTCCTCCCGAGGCGGGCTGACGTCATATTGGAACCGGATGATGCCCGGAAGTGCTGGCTGCCGCCAGAGAACGGCCCGGTCAGCCCCACGGTTTTTCTTTCTTTCTTTTTTTGGGGGACTCCTAGGTTTTTGGAAGCATAAAGGTTTGTGGGTGAACGTGGGGAAACGTGCCCTGAGGACTGCGGGTTTGAAGCGATCGGAAACACCATCTTCCCTTCTCCAAGATGGCGGCGCGGCTTTCCCAAGCGTCTCGTTTCCCGTAGCTGGTCGGACGCGCTCTCTCATTGGTCGACGCTCGGTGCCGTGCAGTTACGTGGCGCGGCCCTGACCAATCGGCTGAGCGCTGAGCTGGACTTGGCGTGTGGGCCCCATTTCGGCCTCTTCTCGCTGTGGGTGCGACCTGCGTCGGCCAGGTGAGCGGGCACTACCTGTGGAGCAGTGGGACGTGGGCGGCCCGGGGCGGGAGCAGGCCTCTCTGGAGGGGCAAGGGGGCAGCAGGGGTCCCGCGGGGAGCCTCTTCCCGGGAGGCGGGGCCGGAGCAGAGGTGGAGGGAGACGGCTGAGTGCGGGAATCGCTTGCCAGGTCGTGAGGTGGAAGCACCGGCTTCGGACTCCGCATCGCTCGGAATGGCGGTGTGCCCACAGCCTAAAAGATCCAATTATGCCTTCGGAGTCTGGGACTCCGTTGGGATAACTTACGTTTTGTGACAGATCTGTCACAGAACCCAGGACTTTGGAAGCCCTTCAGGGATTAAGCGTTTCTTAAGCTTTGCTTAGGAGCTGTGGGGGCCCGGTGGGGTAGGTGGGCATTGAGCTGCAAACAACATGGGGAGTTAAAATCCACCAGCTGCCCCCAGAACAATTAGGCAGTTGCTTCTGTAAAGACTTACATTCTGCCGTATGGAGCAATTCCGCTTTGCCTTGTAGGGTCACTGTGAACTAGAGTTGGCTGGATGGCAGGTTTAGTTCTTTTGATAAACTTGACTGCAGGTGGTCACCATGTCTTGAAAAGTCCTGCAGTGGTAAGAATGGTTTTGATTTTGTATATGTGCAGGCAGGGGTTGGGGTGGGGTGCTGTGGTCGAGGACAGATGGACAAGATCTTTCCAGGCCATTCATTTCACTTGTTCATTCATCGAGCTATAAATAACCCCAGACTTTTCCCCCCTTTGATACCTTTATATAAACTGGACTTATCTCTCCAGTTAAAATAAGTATTCGTTCAAACACTTAACATTTTGTAGCCAAGTCCAAAGGATTCAGTGACCCTCTGAAGTTAACATATGCTCTAGAACAGTGGTTCTCAACCTTCCTAATGCTGAGAGCCTTTAATACAGTTCTTCATGTTGTAGTGACACCCCCTCAACCATAAAGTTATTTTCATTGCTACTTCATACCGGTTATTTTGCTACTGTTATGAATCAGGCTACCCCTGTGAAAGGGCTGTTCGGCCCTCAAAGGGGTTGTGACCCACAGCTGAGAACCGCTGCTCTAGAAGGTAGGAGGATAAAAAAGAGGGAGGGACAGGTGGGGCACGTTTTAAGGTTTAGTATGTAGGTGCTTGGGGACATTAGATGGGACCCATTACCTTTTAATAAAGGAGAACTTTTTTGAGAAGGGAAAACTTATTTAATCAAATCTGTAGTGATTGTTGCTAGAATTGTGATATTAGAACTTGCTTTTATTCCCACCTGAGTATTCCCTTAATACCTAGGAAGCTATGGAAGTATATCATGTGCTGTTGCCCAAAATAACAATGCTGGAGAGTTTATTGGAATAAACATCTGGAATTTCTGTGGTCTGAATTGTGTAAGGGGCCCTGGTGTTGCTGTAGTTTAGGCATTGGACTGCATTTCTCAAGGTTGGCGGTTTGAACCCACTGTCCCCCCCCACCCCACCCACACACACAGTTTAAAAGATGAGGCTGTCTGCTCCCTTAAAGAATTACAGCCCTTTGAAGGTAAACAAACGGCCATCTATCTCAGAAGCAACGAAGCTCACATGGAACAAGCACACCAGCCTGTGTGATCACAAGGTGTCAAAGGGATCAGGTATCAGGCATCAAAGAACAAAAAAATCATTGTGAATGAGGGGGAGTGCAGATTGGGGACCCAAAGCCCATCTGTAGGCAACTGGACATGCCCTTACAGAACAGTCTGGGGAGATGAGCCAGTCAGGGTGCAGTGTAGCAACGATGAAACATACAACTTTCCTCTAGTTCTCAAATACTCTCCCCTCCCCCCCATCTCATGGCTTCCCCCACTATCATAATCTCAGTTCTGCCTTACAAATCCAGCTAGACCAGAGGATGTACGCTGGTACAGATAGGAACTGGAAACACAGGGAATCCAGGACAGATGATCCTTTCAGGACCAGTGGTGAGAGTGGCGATACCAGGAGGGTGGAGAGAAGGTGGGGTAGAAAGGGGGGACTGATTACAAGGATTTACATATAACCCCCTCCCTGGGGGACAGACAACTGAAAAGTAAGTGAAGGGAGACAGTATAAGACATGACAAAATAATTAATTTATAAATTATCAAGGGTTTGTGAGGGAGGGGTCGCAGGGAGGGGGGGTGGATGACATACCAAGGGCTCAAGTAGAAAGCAAATGTTTTGAGAATGATGATGGCAGCAAATGTGCTTGACACACTGGATGTGTGTATGGATTGTGATAAGAGTTGTACAAGCCCCCAATAATATTTCTTAAACAAATTTATAGTGCAGTGACATTCTCCAGATCAAGTGATTAAGAACAGATGTCTGTTACAGATCAACTGTGTTCACTTAAATTGTATGCTATGATACCTATTCCACAATAGTCGTATTAGTGTAGGGTTTGTTATAAATCCACCTTTTCTTTAAAAAACCGTTTTATTGGGACATAATCCACATATTATACAATTCAGTAGTTCTGTCATATCAAGAAGAGTTGTACAATCGCTACCACATCAATTATAAGGTCAGTCTCTTTTCAGATATAAAAGAGCAGATCAAGCAAGCAGAGGTGGGGAAAGGTAGATGAAGATCACCAGGAACAGAAGCTGAAAAGAGCAGGGACTTTCCCACAGAGCCCACGGAAGAGCTTTCCTCTGGAGCCACATTGTATGTTTTAGCCTTCTAAACTGTGAAGAGATTATTTGGGTGAAACCACTCACCTGTGCTGTTTCTACTATAGCGGCATTTGATAACTAAGTTAGTTGCTACCTTTTTCATTTTTTTTTTTTTAGGGGCTACCTTTTTCAGTTGAGAGTTTAATATACTGTTAAAATTTTCAGTTCCTTTTTAGAGTATGGCAACATATCTGGAGTTTATTCAGCAGAATGAAGAACAGGATGGTGTGCGTTTCAGTTGGAACGTGTGGCCTTCTAGCCGTCTTGAGGCCACGAGAATGGTTGTTCCTCTGGCTTGTCTTCTGACTCCTTTGAAAGAACGTCCGGACCTCCCTCCTGTACAGTATGAACCGGTGCTTTGCAGCAGACCAACTTGCAAAGCCATTCTCAATCCACTATGGTATGAATTCTTTTAAAAACTGGTAAATACAATGAATACAGTAAATTATCACTTTTATATAATCCTCATAAAAGTCAGTCAATTGAGAAAGTTATAGTTTCCAGGTGGTGAGATTCCTGAGTGATTAATGCTTTGCCCACTTTCTTCAAGTGCATCTATTAGGTTAACATGTCGGAAGTATTTCCTGTGTGTGAATTGTGTTGCTTTTAGTATTGAAATTAAGTAGTTTCAAATATGTAGCCAATAAAAATGTTTTTAAAGCGTGCTTTAATAAGTTGTACACCTGTAAAAAATGGAAATGGTAAAATGTATGTGAAAGACACATAACAATGACCGAAAAAGCAGCTCTGACTGCTTGTGGACAGCTGATCATCTTGGTTTGGCAGCTTAGGGTTA